CCTTCCCGCTGCCTGACCGCAGCAGACGGGTTCTCCGGGGCGAGAAGCTGCCGCGCCGTGGCCCGGACCATGCCCCAGCGGATGAGACAGGAAGGGCAGGTGTTTGCAGTGCTCATCTGCCGGGCGCTGTGTTCTGCCCTTGCCCGCGGTGGGTCAGGTTGCCGGGACGGAGGAGGAGGAGAAGGAAGCTCACAGTTAGTGAGGCCCCGCCAGCTGGGATGCCTCTTCCCCCCTTGTGAGCCCCCACCCTGCCGCTGACCATTCCGGGAGGTGGTCGCTGGAGGGCTCCCTGCAGGTGCTGGCTCTGAAGACGAAGAGCCCACAGACCAGTTCAGGACCCGGCCGGGTTTGGCTTTAGAAGCTGCTCTTTCAACGTGTCCATCTTTCCATCTGGCTTTCCCGCTGGGCCGTTCTTGCTGAGGGGCTCACCATTTCCTGTGACTCACTGGGCACTCACTGCTTCATACTGCAGCCCTTGGAGGGCAGGAGGAGGCCTGGGTGCAGGGAGGTGTGCTGCTGGGCACCTGGCCTGTGGCCAAGCGGGAGCACTGGGCACCTTGGCAAGGTGGTGACTCTCCTGGACTGTCTGCCTTTGGCTTGATGTTTGAGCAAAGGGACAGACATGGCAGGTCCCAGGGCTGGCCCCACAGGGCATAAAGGGCCGGGGCAGGGGTGCAGGCTGGCCAGAAAGACCATAGGAAGCGCCAGAGCTTCCGAGTAGAATTTGAGGCTGACCTGAGGCTGCCATACCTAAAGCCTGAAGAGGAAATAGTGGAGCAAAAACTTGAAGGTGGAGAGGTACAAAGGTTCAAGTTCACAGTGACCAGCCAGCCCTGATGTGTGAGCAGCTCCACAGGTCTGGTCCTCATCCCTCCTGTTTTGGCCAGCAGAGGGCAGACTCGTGGGGTAGTCACCCTGCAAACTTGGGTGTGTCCCACTGTCCCCGCTCCTGGTCACTGCTCTGGAATGCCTCTTCACTCCTAGCTTGTGGGGGAATAGGGTGGGGAGACTTGGCAGGTAGGTGCAAGTCTGCATAGGGCCACTGGGGTGGGACTGTGGGGGGGCGGGCAGTGAAGCTGCAGGGTCCCTGGGGCAGAGCAGGGGCAGCCCAGGGAGGTAGAAGCGGGAGGGCTTTGAGAACAGGTTCTGCTCGCTGCCCAAGGGCAGCAGCAGCTCCAGCCTGGCCTTGGCCGGGGAGCTATGGGAACCGCCCTTGGCAGAAAGTGTCCAGTGAGTTCCCTGCTGGCTTCTTTGTGCCCTCTGCCCCGTCCCACCTCCCTTTGTCTTTGCACAGGGCAAACTGTTCCCTTCCTCTGCTCACCAGGGTCCTGCAGTGATGTCCCTTGTTCTTGAACTCCCAGGCACATGCCTTCAACTTCCACACCAAAACCACGCTTTCCAAATTATTCAAGAGAGGCTGCTCCTGCAGGCCACCATCCTGGAGAAGTGCCTCTTAAAGACAGAGCTGCGGTTTTTAACCTGGGGTTTCCTCAGGGCCCAGCATCTTCACTTATGGGCACGTGTGCTGGGGCTTATGGGACGTAGACTGGGCGGCAAGGGTCATGTCATTTCCTTCCTCCTGTCATGAGCGGGGGTTGCTGACACGTATCTCCCAGCCCTGCACTTCCTCCCCTTAAGATTTCCGAGGCTTAGGAGGAGCATGGCAGGATGGGGGTCATGGAAAGCAGGGACCGTTAGGTTAGTGACCTTGAGGAGGCAACCAAAAATGTGTGTCTCTCACATCGATGTTTCTTTCTCTCTTTCTTTTTTTAGAAAATATATTTTATTGATTTTTTACAGAGAGGAAGGGAGGGGGATAGAGAGAAACATCGATGAGAGAGAAACATCGATCAGCTGCCTCCTGCACACCCCCTACTGGGGATGTGCCTGCAAGCAAGGTACATGCCCTTGACCGGAATCAAACCTGGGCCCCTTCAGTCCACAGGCCGACGTTCTAGCCACTGAGCCAAACTGGTCAGGGCTCTTTCTCTCTTTCTCTCCCTTCCTGCCTCCCTCCCTTCCACTCTCTCTAAAAAAAAATCAATGGAAAAAAAAATATCTTCGATTGAGGATTAACAACAACAAAAAATAAAGAAAAAATAAAGAACATGCTCCCTGCACAGCTGGAACTCAAACAGAACTGTGTTAGTTCAAGTGGCTGTAACAGATACCGTAGACTGGGGGGCTCAGGCACAGATGTCTCTTCTTTCCCAGTCCTGGAGGCTGGAAGTCTGAGATCCAAGTGTGGGAAGGGCTGGTTTCTCCCAAGGCCGCTCTCCTTGGCGTGTGGAGGGGCCTTCTTCCTGTGTCCTCACGTGGTTTTCCCTCTGTGTGCCTGTGCCCTAATCTCTTTCTCTTATGAGCTTACCAATCATGCTGGATCAGGGCCCACCCTCGTGGCTTTGTTTAACCTCAGTCACCTCTGTTATGGCTCCATCTATAGTAATAAAAGGGTAATATGCTAATTGGACCGGATGCCATTCCGGACGTCCTTCCTGACGAAGCCAGGGCTGGAGGGAAGCCAGCCGGGTCCTGGGTGCCTGCAGGCGGCTGGAGGGAAGCCAGTGCTGGCAGCCAGGGAAAGGTAGGCCTACCCTTGCACGAATTTTCCTTCCAGACAAAGCCACAGCGGGTGGGGGCTGCAGCAGAGGCCCCCCGGCGGCAGTGGGCGGGAGGCCAGGGCCAAGGCCCTTGCATGAATTTCGTGCCTCGGTCCTCTAGGCTGTAAATAATGTACCATTCTGAGATGCTAGGGTCAGGGCTTCCACATATGGATTTGGGGGACACAGTTCAGCCCATGACAAGAACAGTTTCCAGAAATATCGTCGTTCATTGGACTCTTTCTGCACTTGCCCACTTAGTGCTTCTTTGAGCAGAGTCTGTGCAGGCCTGTTTTGGCCTCAGCTTAGCTCTGTGGCTTGATCTGTTAGTGCTATGGGGTACTCCCCACCCCCACACCCGAGCACCGCTGGAGCAGGGAGAAGCAGGGAGATGGGGTGGGGATGGCCTACTGATGGGGCTTGAACCAGCCTTTGCCACCACAGGACAGAGGCATCCCCTACTACTGACCCCCGCAGCTAGAGACTCCAAACGCAGGCTCTTCCACAGCCGAGTGTGGAAAGACAACTTGGAAATGACTGGAGAAGGGTTGGCCCCGGCTGGGCCGCACAGATTTGCCCTCATGCCACCCAGAGGCTGGAAAATGGGTGTGGCGGGGGCTGGAGAGGCTGCCCGTGAGGCTGATTTGGTGTCCCCGGTCTCAGAGTTCTGGCCTTCTGAGCCTTCCTCAGCCTCACCTGCAGAGTGATGCCAGCAGAACCTTTGTAGGTTTAAGCATCGAGTTTCTCACTTGGGCCCAACTGAGGACGGGGAAATGCAGCTGTGCACAGCAGTTCCAGGGGCTACACACACCAAGGGCTCAGCTTTACGGCAGGTGGGAGAACGTTCCGATACGGCAGGGGCGTCAAGCTCCTGAGCCGGGAGTCATGGAAGGTCTGGAAGCAGTTACTTCTACAGATTTACCGGGATGTAGGGAGAACAGGTATGCCTTCTCTCATCGCTGTCTTTTCCGTTGGAACTGCTGGGAATATAGGTGGCAGCCCCTCGGAAGACCGCGCTCAGGCACTGACTGTGCTCCCTTGGTTACTGATCAAGCTGGAGCAGCTTAGACCCCCTTTCCTTTCTCCGAGAGAACAGTCCTCGCGGTGATCAGAGGGTGCCTGGCTCCCAGGGCGCCCCCTGGCCGGAGCTCGACCCAGGTGCCCCTCGGTCGGCAGTCAGCCTGGTGCTGATCTGTGCCCGCTGGATGCCTGTGAGTCTTCAGGGCTGAGGTTCCCAGACCGCTTATTGCCAGGTCCTGAAGCGCACCTCTCACAGTCTCAGGCAGGCCGGCCCATGGGCTCCACCTTCCACGGGCAGAGAACAATGTTATAGAAGAAAGAGAAGGGCTCTGGCTGCTTTGGCTCAGTGGTTAGTTGGCCCTTGGACCAAGGGTCTTGGGTTTGATTCCCAGTCAAGGGCACATACATGGGTTGCAGGTTTGCTCCTCACCCCCAATAGGGGTGAGGTAGAGGTGTGTGCAGGAGGCAACCAGTCGATGTATAGATGTCTCTCACATAGATGTCTCGCTCTCTCCTCACTCCCTCTCTTCCACTCTTTCTGAAAAAGCAATGGAAAAAATGTCCTCTGGTGAGGATTAACAACAACAACAACAAAGGGGGGCGGGGGCGGAGAGAGAGAGAGAAGGGAACAGAACCTTGATCCTGCTTTTGGATTCGTTTCAGCACTCTGGTGCAGCAAGTCCATAGTACATTTTAATATTGAGGGGAACATGTTAATGTGACCAGCAACAGAGGAGGTAGCCTTAGCTGAAAATCCATTTAAATGTGGTGTCACCAAAACAGGAAGGCAAGACCACAGGAGGCCCCAAAGACACTTTCTCTTCTTTTTCTTTTTTAAGATATTTTTATTGATTTCAGAGAGGAAGGGAGAGGGATAGAGAGACAGAAACATCAATGATGAGAGAGAATTATTGATTGGCTGCCTCCTGTAAGCCCCCTACTGGGGGGTGGGAGGATCGAGACTGCAACCCAGGCATGTGTCCTTGGCTGGAATCGAACCTGGGCCTTTAGTCCACAGGCCCACGCTCTATCCACTGAGCCAGACCAGCTAGGGCCCCAAAGACACTCTGGGGAGGCGGGGGGTGGTGACTCAGTTTGGGGCCTGCAGAAATCAGCCTCATTCTCTGGCTGTTCTGGCCCATCTGTGCAGGAGAGGTCAGCCACGGGTGTGTTGAGAGGCCCCGGCGGGGAAACCTGGATTCAGACTCCTTTGGCCACAGTAGCTGGAGCAGAGATTGGGGTTCCCAGGGGGCTGCTGGAGCCCAACAGAAGCTACAGAGCTACAGGGACCTGGGCGTGTGAACCCACATGTTCCTGTGGGCGGCTCACTCCAGGTTCTCCTGGAGCCACCACTGGGTCCCCAGGGACCGCCACAGGGCCACAAGCAGCCATGTCCACCTCTCACCTTTGAGAACCCCCTGAGCCCCGGGGTGAACTTTTTCAGGGGGTCTCTGATCAGTTCCTTGGAAGATCTTTACATTTTTACCTTAGAGTCCCCAGGATACAAGGGACCTTCTCCAGCAGGGTT